ACCGTCCAAATGTGCCCTACGAAAAGAGAGAGCTAACTCCCAGATGTGAGTGATCCTGTTTGTCAGAGTCAAATAACCTTTCCGGACGATATTGGAGATTGGCGTTGATTTTGTCCTGCATCTGTCACTGATGAGAAAGAAAATGCGAGAAAGAAATCTGAGTCAGTCACTTGAAGGCGAAAATTCAGCCCTCATGCCAATGCAACCTTACCCGCTCCAAAAGTTGATTGGGCAAATGCCATTTGAGTTTTAAAAATTATCGCGCTCCCTCATTAGGCGATCATTGTATCCCTTAGAAGAGATTCTCACTCAAGTCTCAATTTAGCCTTATGAATATTGTACTGCTCTCAATCAGGAGAGAGGAGCATGATAAATGGGAATAAGAGGACTACGACACCAACGTAAATTTTCCCTCTCATTAATAACTTGGAAATAGTCATATTCTCCTATAATTGAAAATATTAACAAATTATCAATATTTTCTCTTAGTTGAAAATAAATAATATACGACCTTTAACTTTATAGCATATTCTTTAAAGCTACTGCAAATCATTCCAATTGATTTCAGAAGACAGATGACCACCAGACAACTGAAGAAATACAATTTTTGGGACACCACAGCGATTTTACGTCATTATAAAAAATTGTGAAAGTTGAGGCTATCCTAATCGCCTAAGGCGGTTATCTTTAAATCTGGCTTCGCATTTGCTGATAGCTCCATGTTTTAGTGCGCATTTACCAAAAACATTTTGGGAACATGAGCAAAATCAGCAGTTACTGTCCCTTCCTTCCAGAAAAACCACAACGTCCAACTCCCCGTATCACTCTTCACAAATGCCGCCAGCGTGAGAAAGCTCGTCTCTCTCCTCCAATGCCTGCAACGAGACGAGATTAGTTAGAAAAATCCGCGTACCCTTTGGTTGACAAACGGTATTTTACGCTGCTGCACGAAACATTTCAAAGCAAAGTCAGCAGTACACATCATCTATTGGCAGGATAATTTGAAATTCTTGAATGCCTCTCGTAGATGTAATCCGAATGCTTTTTATCGATATGTCAGTGGCAGGAGTCGACTTTCGGTCGGCTCCATTAAGGAACCACGCGGGGGGTGTGAATTGCGAATGACAGCCGATTGGTCGGGGTATTCAAGGATCTCCTTGTTTCGTCTTTTTGGAGTGAATCGGATGACATACCAGCAGGAGCTAAGGTCACCGAAGCAGGCGTTTCTACCGGATAACCTCATTAGAAGAGAGCTCAATTCGTTCATTCGGGAATCAGAGCTCGGCTTGTGCAGGCAGCGTTCTCGTCTTCCCAATTAGCCAGACTATTTTGATGGATAGAGGGAATGCCGTCGGTATCGTGTATCGTCAAGACCAGGCTAAGGCTTTCGATACGGTTTCTTCCAAGGAATCACGAGCTTCATCGAGAGGACAAGTAGTCCAAGGTTGAGTGAATAACCTCTCCAGTCTTATACACGTTTATATGCATTATCAAAATAAATATAAAAAACAACATATTTGGTTTTCACGTATATATATAGTATAAGGAATTACCAATGGTGCCTGTACCAACCAAACCAATCTAGGCGATGGGGGAATAAATCTCGCAATCTGGGAAAACTCCCTAACTAAACGCCACCCGTTTAACCGAGCACACCTCATTGCAAGGTCTGATGTACGCTATTGAGTCCACTTCGTACTTGAAAAAAAAAATGAAAAAAAGGGGCTGTTGGAAACTCAGGACAGGGAAAATCTCCCCTCAATTGGGTGAAATAATAGAAAAATTAATTAGCGGGATTAGGATTCAGAAGTTCAAAAACGCCTGCAAATGGGGGAAAGGAAGGGAAAGAGTGGAACTGGAAGAATGAGCAAGTATACTTCCATCGGGAAAAAGAACCAAGAGAATTTACATTTGCCGTAGTGGATATAATTATAGATAGATTAGATAGAGGATAGATTTCCATGGTGGCAATGGTGCCAGTCCCACCCAGACCAATCTAGGCGATGGGGGAATGAACCCCGTTCCCGAACCAAACCTGACAGATTGGCTAGACTATGGGGAGTTAGCCTGCAGAAAAGGGGCAAGGCTGAAAAAAGCTAAAAGAAGAAGGACAGTGAAAAAATCCCAGAAACTGTCATGCAGCCTGCGTCTTCAGGGGGTTGAGGCTGCAAGCTTAACACGACACCCTATCCAGACCGTTTCTGCCGTTAGGCGCTGAAGCTTTGGAATTGAATGAGAAAGGCAGTACCTAGATTTTCAGAGGCACACCCGGCTTAAGTCCGTCTGCCAGCACCACCGTTAGCCATCAATTGGCTTGACCAGCCTTGCGACCGAAATTCATGACGAGAGACTGGTCCTTCCAGATCCACCCCTGGTTTGGGTTGGGCAGGACTGGATTTCAATTCTTCGATTCTAGTTCTATGCTTCAGAATGTATGACTCACTTAGCATTTGTTTCATTTTAAGAACTAATCATTTTTACTTTTGAATTTAGGTTCCTGCAAAAAGTATTGAACGGGTTCCCCTCTCCTCTTGAAAAACATGAGGGAACGCCGCTCCCATTAGTTTACACTTATTTTTTTTCCACTAGGGTGGAGTGAATATACCATTCAAAAAAGTTATTGAGCGGTGGGGTATCCCAGGCAAGGAAAGAGAAAATCGCCCGAACTGATCCCACGCCCCATTCGAAACAGAGCTACACGTGACCCTCCTCTGATTGAATTCGTGTCATAGCAAGAAGGGGAACGAGATATGATCATAGGAAATGTGTGAAACGCGAGCCAAAAAGGGCCAAAGTGCCTTGGGGCGAGGGATCTGCGAGGGCAAACACCTCCTTTCCTTGCCTCCACCTCTCATGTTTGTTTTTTGTTTTTTTTTTTTTTTGAAAGGTATATTTTCACTACGAGACGGGGGGAAGGGAGCCACACGTGAAGTTGGCCGATCAGGGCCGGCCCTAGCTATTTCGGCACCCTGTGCGAAGATACTCCCAACGCGTCGTCCCCCCCCCCCCCCCCCCCCCCCCCCCCCCCCCCCCCCCCC